CACTTATCCAGAGGCATCTGGCCTAATTCTTTCCGCCAATAAAATGAAAACGTCTCGCAACTAGGCTGCTTCTTATAAATGCATTTTATTTGGAGTCATGGATACAAAAATACTTATCAAATCCCATTATTGGCCTTAGTGGTGGAGTAATACGATTAAAATTGGTTAATTAAAATCAGATCACTTCTTTTCATTCTTCGAGAAATGATATGAAGAAAATCTGGGTTTCGAATAACTCCTTAATGAAATATTGTGGTATGTCCCTCAATTTCCTCCTCGCGATAATCCTCCTTCGGTTTCCGGTAAGACCACATCACAAATTCCTTCCAACCAACTTTCCTTTCGAAAATGAGAGTCATGCCACAAACTTCAATGACGTTTCAACAAAAATTCATGAAATTCGGCGATTCTATTGCTACTTAATCAGTGTTCATACTGTAGTCAGTGTCTTTGGCAACCTGCCCTTTATCAATTAAGTATCTATTGGCTCGCTCTTTCAGTAAGAGTGTCTCCTGTGTTCGTTCAAACAATTCATTTTCTCCTAATGAGACCATGGCTTATTGACAAATACCAATGTCAGGAGAAGGGTACCCATCATGCCAATATTTAGCTCAAAAACAGAGGAAGTTACAGCTTTTAGAAAATTTTGGTCAGCCCTCCTACTTTAGGATACAGTGGGTACATAAAGAAATAAAATTTATGTTTATAATAAACTGTAATAGTTTACTATTATATTATATTGTAACAACAATAATAACATACTTGTATCACTTTTTCATTAGGCCAAGCCCTTATTTCTGCATTTGTGCACACCGCAGAAAGCATAGGCAAACCTTTCGTTTATAGATCAAATTAGGGCTCAGCATTTCCCAGTTAAAGGTCAGCAGGTCATGGGTTTCCAAGTTCGGTGCACATTTTCCGGCCGCCTTAAAATTGTGTAAACTAAGCGATAGTGCAGAACTATAGAGTTGTGATTCGATAGCATAAAAGTGATTAGCACCAAGCTTCAGGCAAGAGATAGTACCTAAGAGGTTTTACTCTTAATCATTTTTAATTAATCTGCTTCAGTAGAACTTTTGACGAATACAAGTTTACTTTATTAGTTTTATTTCATACTTTTTCTCAAAATTTCCTTCCTCAGACTGTCCATGGATTTTTTTTGTCGGTTTGATTATGAAAAGACTCGGTCGAGCCAACCGTTGCAGATGTAGCTTGTGGCGAACAAATTTTTACCCATTTTTTTCCAAGTATTCATCGCTTCAATTCATAAGTTAAATTTCCCAATAACTTCAACTGCAATTTATTCGACTTTGGGCCAGACTAGGCAGCCTTCGAAATGTCCTCAATGTCTCCGCAAAGTTTTTCTCTGAGCTGGGCAAAGAGGCCGACCATGATGGGGAGGAAAGAGCCGACGATCATAAGGCTTCAATCGAGGTTAACAACATGTACACTTCCATATCACCCTCCGGAATACCGCCACCCGGAGATGC